TCGCGGTTTTAGTAATCGGGAGCTCCAGTTCTAACGGCAACCGTGCCAAGACTGAGCATCCTAGCTACGTGCGCGCATGCTTGGTGGTATTGGGGGAAGCAACGAATGCAACAGGGTTGCCAACAGCCGCACGAAAAATTACCCAGCGCTTTGGAGACCTTACTTTTGGAATCAGCTACGTATATGTGAAGACCACGCCAAAAACACATACACTGGGGGGGGGAAATAATACAAAAACTATGACCAAAGAAAGAACACAATGACAGTATTCTTGATATGATATACAACAAAACGACGTGCATGGGAGCACGAAAGACAAATGGTCAGTGCAGTGGTCTCCACAAACATTAAAAATTGCCTGATGATGGCCCATATGTGGCCGAAACATGCTGCAAGATTGGAAAAACATTATGTAAAACAAAAAGACATTTTGAAGTATTTTGATAGTCACTTTTAGTGTATAAGATATACTTGCAGTGCCTTAATGATATTTTATGATACTTAATAACATTTTAAAGTATTTAAAGTTACACTTTTAATGAAAAAATATATATTTTAGGTGTCTTTTATATCAGTGTTACATTACTGACGGTGTACTTGAATAAGAATGGAACAAAGAACACAATCAAGGTGCTGAGAGCTCGCTGAACAGAAAGTGCATGAAATCAATGCTAGGCCTGAGACATCTTGCAAAGCAGACTGGGGTGTAAGGTTCCAGGTTTCAACATCCAAGTTTGTTCTGTTTCTAAAGAGGAACTTTGATGTGTGAATGTGAACATTTCAGAGGTTCAACAGATGTGTGCACAATAATATGGACAATTTCCTGCATCTGCTGTGATTTGGGTGGGTTCCATTTGTGATTTGCTGGCCTACAGACTTGCTGACTGCACTGCTGATCTAAAAATTCATGAGAGGAGCTCATCTCCTCCCCACCGGACTAGCCAAATAATTTGCAGCGGGCTATCAAACAACATCTTCTATATAAACCAGCATCATAAATACAAGAAAATGCAATGGAAAAATTACAAATCCTTACATAGGTAAAATCAATGAAGTCACAGTCAACATCTTCATAACCAACGGTCCCCACAGAATAGCTGCCTTCTTGTTTATATCTGAATTTACCCAGTGAGCGATGAAAAAGTACAGTGTGGAAGATACTTGCAACTGCTTCATCAACTTGATGTCCTTCAACAGTCTGTACAGAAAAAAAAATAATAATGAAGATTATGCATTAATAACATGATCACCCAACAAGTATAAACTTTTTATAGTAACTCAAAATTCCAGGGCACACAGTAGTGTAGTTGGTTGAAGTGCTATGCTACAAGCTGGAAGGTCATGGGTTTGATTCCCAGTGAAATCAACAGCCCTTGCAATTGACCTAATCCTTCCAGCTCCAGCTGCACTATGGCCCTTGGGTCGACTCAGCCTCTAACAGAAACGAGTACCAGGAATTTTCCTGGGGGTAAAGGACAGCTGGCACTTAAGGCTGACAACCTCACCGCCATCTGTGAGGTGACTGTCTAGAAAATGTGGAAGCCTCAACATCTCACAACCTCATGGACCTCCACGGCCTGTTACACCATTACCTTTGCCATTTTTATTAAAAATTCCATCTATTTGTGTGAGCTGACTACTTAAACCTACACTTTACTTTTCTTCTAAAGGGTTCTGATGATGGTGGATGACACACAGACCCAGTAATTCTGTTTACTTTTCTTGTTTCATAAGATTGTACTTTGTACCTCCATCAGAAGATTAATGAAGACAGATACTGGAAGTGGCATAAATTATTAAGTGACAGTCTGCTTGCAAGGTGAATTACTACATTACTGTTGAAGATGTAAAAATTTTCCATAACAGTGATGAAGAGAGCAGAGTGGCTGCGCCACAGCTTAAACAGTTAGTCACTGGCTTCCCACCATGGCGGCCTGGGTTCGATCCCGGGTCTGGTCAAGTGGGATTTGTGGTGGACAAAGTGGCGCTGGTGCGGGTTTTCTCCGAGTACTTCGATTTCCCCTGACAATCTTCATTCCACCAAATTCTCCATCATCAAAATCACCTGGGGCAGGCTAAAATAGGCCAATCAGTGGCTGGTGTGCCAAGTGGACCCAGTTGGACTCCACCCCCCACTAAGCGAATTAAAAAAAAAAAGAGAGCAGAGTTATGCCTGTTTAACATATATTACATATCAATTAAAGTCAGTAGTGTCAAAACATTAAGAGACACAGCTGTTGTTATGCAGTGATGAGTTATATTCTCATTTCAAAAATTCACATCCAGGAGTTTGCAGCACCCCCTAACTCCTGGAAGCCAGAACAGTGGAACCAGAAACGGTGGCCATTACAATACCACATAAACATATGTGACCTGTCATATGATGCCTTAAAGCCAGAGGTTCCCAGGGGCCTCCAGAAGCAGAATCTGCTTTCCTGTCCCAGAGGAAGTCATTGTGTACGGTCCTCGTCTTAGGATACCTCCTGGCCAGATGAATTTATTAATGACATGGATGCAAGCAACGTGGAGACTGTAAAACTGCTGTCATAAATGCAGACGCATGTAGTAGTGGACTGCACCAGGACCCTATCCAATGCTGAGGAACTACTGTGTGTCCTGACAGAAGTTACTGGTCATTGCAAAAACAGAACAAATACATCCATGGACAAGAATTCCACGTGTGTACCGAGTCGATCCTAATGTGGCTCCTTAGTTTCAAAAACCTGGAAGGACAAGTGTGGGGCAAGGTTCAAGGTCTCCAAAAGCACAATTCTATACCTGAAGATCATAAGGGGCGAAAGCATAAAAATGCAGATGTGCTTTCTAGAAGACATTGCTGGAGGCACCCACTGCCAGAGAATCGAATGGTAGTCAGCAGTCTGGAGGTATGTGTCACCTCTGCTGCCACCATGGATGACTAGAGTCATGCTGCCCTGAAGAGGGAGCAGCTGGATAACAACATGAAGGATGGACAGCATTCTGAGTGTAAGAATGCCGACAGCAGTCGAACTTACAGGTGTTACTGAGCTCAGTGGAACTACCTGGCAGTCAGATATTTTGGGAATGGAACCAAAGGCCCAATATTTTAAAAGCAAAACCAAAAGCCTAACTTTGTGAACTTGTTGCTGGAAACCAAATTAAGGTTAGACTTTGGGTCTTGTTTTTACAAATACACTTCTAAGGCTGGTAATGCCAATGTGATGAATAACATGACAGTAGCTTTAAAAGTTACTGGGGTTGCCTGCTAATACATATCAGGTTTTCACTACAATATCAATAACAGAAATATTTATGCAACTATATATGTAAAAGACGTACCAAAAGATATATGGCATACAAGAATCTTGTTAAGTTGCTTTAACATTAATAATATGTTACATATTAGTAACATTGACACTCTCAAATCAATCTATTTTATTTTCATTCTGTAATGAAGTATGGAATAATTTTCTGGGGTAATTCATCTGACAGTAAAAAGGTATTTACACTGCAAACGAAAATAGTTAGAACCATGATGGGTGTCAAATCCCATAATTCCTGTAGAGATCTACATGTATTTAAGAGACTACAGATCTTAACTTTGCTTTGTGAATATATCATCATCATCATCATCATCATCAGTAATCTGTCAAGACGACAGGTCCACAGTCTCTTCCAAAACAATTCCTCCACTTAATGCGATCTAGAGCTTTCTCCTTCAAATGACAGTATCCTCTTCTGTCCCCAAGGTCATCCAGCATCTTCTTACGTCTTCTTCCTCGTCTTCTTGTCACTTCTATCCGCCCCTCTATCTTTCCTTCAATAACTTCTTTTAGAAGGCAGTTTCTGCGTAAAACATGACCAATCCAATTAGCCTTCCGTTTTCTTATTTCGTGTAGGATATTCCTCTGCTCACTGACTCTAATTAACACTTCTTCATTTCTCACATAATCGGTCCAACTGATCTTCTCCATCCTTCTCCAACACCACATTTCAAAACTTTCCAGATGTTTCTGATCTAGTGAATATATATATATATATATTCATTAATAAACTTCATTACAAATAATGAAGAACATTTTCAGACAAATGCGGATGTACAGTGTTAACCCAAGACACAAACACTGTCTTCATAAACCAACTGCTAACCTCTTATGCTTTCAGAAAAATGCATATTATGCTGGGATCAACATTTCTAATAACCTGCCATCTGATCTCAAAGGTCTTATGAATGAAAAGGCACAATTTAAAATGGCACTGAAACAATGCTTAAAAATACACATTCATTATACTCTGTTGATGAATACCTATTGTCTAGAAAATAACTTATATATCTTTAAATAGCCTTGTGTGTATTCACTGTGTATTCTTGGTTTCTCTTGTGTGAGAACTCCATTGGGTCTGTACATATGTTTTGTATTTATATGACATATTCCTATCCTACAGTCATTTTGACTAACTTTGGATCCATGGAATGCAATGCAATGTAACGTAAAAAAATACACAGATACTGTAAAATAAAATGTTATAAAATATTTTATATGTGAAACTATGATCACAAGTATTATATTTTTGGACATTATCCATTGTCTTGTCTTTATCTAAAAACCATCGTGTTTATTTTTCAAAACACAACGTTTCAGAGACTGGATTCTGCCTCTGTCTTCAGGTAAAACCTACTCGGTTGGTCCCAACAGATAGAGCTAGCCCGTCTCTGGACACCTGTTTCAGTTTCAAGAAGGGGTACATAAATCAAACAGCACAAACCATCTGCAAGAGCAAAGAAAATATCTATTAGGCCCAACTGAGTAGGTTTTTATTTTTTTCTCAAGACAATGGATAATGTCCAGACACATAATACTTCTACCAATGAACCATCATCACAAACTTTTAGATCTTATTAACTATGATGAACATTGCATTTATAAAGTAAAATCAACAACAGCTTATGTAATGGTGAGACATATGATTCTGGGGTCAAAACATGTCAGGCTAAATGAACTTGCATTTGCATGTTATAAAATGTCACTCAAATTATATTATAATACGATTTTAAGATGAAAAAAAAACATCCAACTTCATTTCACCACTCTTAGTCTAACACATAATCCATTAAGTCCCGAACACTGTCACAGTACTTGCAAATACAGTCATGTATAAGGGATTTGTGTGACTAATAATAACGGTTCTGAATTGGATCACTGGATTTATTGGCACTTGTTTACAATTACAATTAATTATAACAGCTCATAATCAGTGACTGTCTAAGACCCACTCTATTCCTTACTGGACCATGAGTGTCTTCTCTTCCACTGTGACTGACTTGGTTCTGATTTACGGATAAGTCACTTCTTCACCTGCCGTTGTCTGCTGGGTAACGCTCCACAGCTGAACACTCAACTCTCTTACGAATGAATCCTTAAATTCATGAATTAACTCTCTTTTATAACTTGGGGCGAACAGATGAGAGCACTGCCTCCAACAGTCCATGTATTGGTCTGTTTGGGGACTTGCTTGATAGTAATGGACTAGTTCGTTGCCACGGAACATTTACCAAACCGTTACCCAGCAATGCACTATTCCATCTTGCTGTCATGAAAATGTGTGTTAGCAGGCTGTTGGCTAGCAATGGATTATTCCAGCAATGATGACGATGATGACGAATATAACCTTAATCGTTAAGAGTGTGTTCCCCAAGAGAATTATCATTATCAGCATTGTAATTACAGTAAGTTTTCAAGACAGCACTTCCCTCAAGTAAGCCTGTGATTATGGGTCAGCCCAGCTTCACAGGAGAAGTGTCCAACTCTTCCACTAGGGAAAAATCTCAATGCTTCAGCATCACATACACTTCAAACCTTGGGGAAAACTGCACCGTGGGTCTACAACTTCAGAAAAATAATCTATTTGGTTAGTATGCACATTTTAATGTATACAATGAGTAACCAAAGACAAAGAGCTAAAACTCAGATCAGCCACATTTCTTCCTTATATTAAAAACATTTCTTCCTTATATTTCCTGCGGTAAATGGAATCAAATTTTCAGCATAATTATTTTTATTTAATCTAGTTTTTGGAAAATTGTAGAATTTAATTAGTGTTTCGCGGTGAGGGCTCTGTTTATAGCATCATCACAATACATTTGTGCACCAAAAGAAAAAAAGTCTTGTACCCAAGAACCCCTCGGTTGTGTTGTAATCCACTTACGTCTATTATATAATTGCAAATATATAGTAAAATGAGGGTTCCTGTGTCATTTCTGTTGAAACATGTTTCACTAATACAATAGGTGGATGTTACAAGTGGATCAACAGCTGTAAGAGGTCCATTCAAGTGAAGCAAATAAATATCAAACCGCTCTCTCTCTTCGCCAAGAGTTTATACTACAAAAACTAGGGCAGATCTATTTCTGTTTCGTGATTAGTTTCAGTGGTCACTCAGTTGTCATCCTCGGTTCACGTGCTATGAACTTACCAATTCAAAAGTCTGTGACCTCGCGTTCATGTTTTAAGTTTTCAGACTCCCTTCTCGATTGGTAATTCATGACGTTTAATATAGTTACAAGACGGTAATGTGATTCCCGACCCGTAACTCTTTCTCCTTTTAACGCCGCTGGACACTGTGGGTGCACTTTTACTTTTTCCTGGCCTGTTTCTTACACCTTTTGCTACAGTCAGCTGTTCTTTGTTTACCATAAAATTTTGCAAACAAAACTGCAAAGTAATGCGAAATCATTACTAAAGTCAGAACCAACTGTATATACTAACAAGGTGTGAGCTAACAGTATTATGCTCTATAAATAAATTTTCATAGCCTCAAAGCATCACGCCACATTCCACCTTCGCCTTACAGCAAGAGCCAACTGAGTAAAACAATTTTATCTCGCGGTCCTACTACACGCACAACTTCGCCACTCTAATTCGATTGATCGTCGCAGTAGTTCAGAGCAGCCCCGTGAAACTGCCATGTTATTGGTTGGCAACATGGCGGCCATGACACCTCGGTCCAATTCTTCTGCCATCTATGTGCATTTTACACTGAACTAAATGTAAAATGACCTCCTGGGCCGAGAGCACAATCGATAAGAAGGTAAGCTACTTTACCAACTATTTTGAGTGCTTCCCCCCTGCCCCCCTTCAATGCTTTTTTTTTCGCTACTTGCACTAAATACTTTACAACCACATCTCTTGTACTGCAGTCTCTCTTTCCCACCAATATCCTATATGCATTCCTCTCCTCCCCCATTCGTGCTACATGCACTGCCAACCTCATTGTCCTCGACTAGTGATTTTTGAACAGTGTTCAATATCACTAGTCGAGGACGATGCGGTTGGCAGGGCATGTAGCACGAATGGGGAAAGCGAGGAATGCATATAGGATATTGGTGGGAAAGCCAGAAGGAAAGAGACTACTGGGAAGACCAAGGCATAGTACAAGAGATCTGGTTGTAAAAGTATTTACTCCTCGACTAGTGATTTTTGAACTGTGTTGAATATCACTAGTCGAGGAGGATGAGGTTGGCAGGTCATGTAGCACGAATGGGGGAAGCNTTAAGATTCTACGGTCCTTCTTCAGGCTACACCGAAAGATGTTTAAAATACAGAAATACATTTTGGCTGACGTATCATAGTAACACTGACTTCATGTTTGTTTCTAATTTCACTGGGCGTAGTAAGCATAATCCATTCACATAAGTAACACACAGATGTAAATTCATGCGTAAATGTGGACTCTCGTTTCATTACATCAAATCAAAGTCCTTGCTTATTAATTAATCTAATTAATTGCACGACATACCTCAATGGCGCACATATACTTCCACAAGCTACGCAGTTTTACTCGTTTTACTGTGGGAACCCCCCGCCGAAGAGACAAAAATCGTCCAACGGAAATTTAAGATCCTCTGATTGGCTCACACTTACGCGATTTGATTGAATGCGATAGGTGTATAATGATCGATTCCAGTCATTACCAGACTACGTAGTTCATGTAAATGTTCTTAGATGGCTGGTCTGCATGTTTCCCTCTCCCCTATGGCAGTTACACCCCCCTGGTTCAGAGCTACCACCGCTACCACGGCTACCACTACTGAGACTGCTACGCTGTAGTAGCTCAACTCGCTCGCCCAGCGCTACGGAGCCGACAGAACCTATGGAGTGGGAAATGTGTATTTATAACAAGAATCTTCTGAAAAATGCCGTCTCCTGGGATGTGGCGCCGTATTTGTGTGGGTGCTTGATCGACTTAAGTCTTCAACCCTAAAGATGGGTCAGTACTTTCTTCCGAAATGTCGGCGAACTATTAACGGACTTACTTACTCATGGAGCTGAGACCTTCTGGAGCAGCCGCCATTTCTGCAGCTACTCAAGAATTTCCCAGCATTTTATGGAACCCGAAGGTACATTACCATGTTCACAAGAGCCCTCCACTGGTCCCTATCCTGAGTCAGATTAATCCAATCGATCCCATCCTATCTCTCTAAGATCCATTTTAATATTGTCCACCCACCTACGTATTGGTCTTCCCAGTGGTCTCTTTTCCTTCTGGCTTTCCCACCAATATCTTATATGCATTCCTTGTCTCCCCCATTCGCGCTACAGGCCCTGCCCACCTCATCCTCCTTGACTTGATCATTCTAATTATACTTCGAGAAGAGTACAAGTACTATTAACGGACTACATAGGAATATTTCAAAGATTCAGCCCTTAGTTTTCAGTCTGTGATGTGGTAACTCAGTATTCTAAATCTTAGGGCGAGGGCACACCAAGGAAACTGGCAACCGCAATGCACCCGCAATTTTCGAGAAATGTCGCTGATTTCAAGAAGGCAACAGGTTTTCAGATTAGTAGGCACACACTGAGGAAACTTTCCTTTGAACGCCATTACTTTGTTTTTCTTTTCTTATGTTTTCTCAGAGCTGAATAAATTACATATTGAAGTCTGTAACTTCTCCCGGCTGCCTTGTATTAAAACTCTTCTTCGTGTATTCATAATTAAGTTTACATATCCATGTCCATACTCTCAACGTCGGCACTTCATAGACTTCGTTTTATTTTACAGGGAAACGCAATATTACGTTCCATGCGTACCAGCTTCCATGTATCACTGGTATACTTCCTCGGGTTTAATTTTAGTCTGAGTATCTGTTAATAGAGTGCGGGACACGAACTTCATTTCTCCTTATATTTACAACGAGTAGAAGTATTCTCCAATAGATGGCACTTGTATTTGTATTTTAATTTTGTAGTAGTCCACTCATGTCGCGCGATGGCATGGGGGTACACTATCTTCCCAAAAGTCTCGGCGAATGCGAATGTATTGATGGGCTGCAAAGAGAGGAACATATCTTCTGGAACTGTAAACGCTGTAAACTGTACGAGGACCAACGGGCAACAGCGATGACAGCGATGGACATTTTTTCTGGGAACAGGAAAAAAAATGCAGTTATATAGCTCTTACGGTTAGAAGAAAAAAGATTTCTGAAAGGCGTCTGTTACTTCGTAAAAACATTCCTATATTTATATAAAATAGATATGTAAGAAAAGTAAGAGAAGTAATTGTACTGATTATTACAAATATACTCTCAGATTTCAGTTAAGATCTATATTAAGAATCGCGGGGTTAACGCTATTATAGAATAAGATATTTATAAGAATGTGCTACAGAAGGCCGGATGGGCATTGCCTAGGCCTTTTTTTTTTTTTTTTTGTATTTACAATATTTTTTCTACAATAAAGAAAACGCAATGTGCCATTGCTTTACAACGAGTAAAAGTATTCTCCAATAGATGGCACGTGTGTCCGTATTTGAATTTTGTAGTAGTCCATTCATGTCGCGCGATGGCGTGGACGTACACTGTCTTTCCAAAACTCTCGGCGGTTATTGTGGCCCAGTAGGAAATAGGCTCATCGTCTAGTTCGATAATTGTCCGTTTTATCACATGAATGCAGCATCTTTGTCACCTCTTACAGGGACATTTGTGATTACTTCAGTAAATGTAACGAACTGTACGTTTTCATTACCGCAGAACTGATGGCCCCAAGGCTGCATGAGAGCCTTAAGCTAATCGTTCGGCTCGTCCGGCCGGAGGGTCACGTTACTCGCGTCATGCGCTTTCGAGCTCATGGTGTATAAGACAGGACATTAGCCCATACACAGTATTGCCCCAATAAATCTTTAACAACTATATTTCGAGTTTGTGCGTTATATGCCTGTCAGCCATTTTCCCCAGCCGCTGCTACTGTATTAAAAGCAATGGAACACTGAAACGAGCTTTCATGTACAGTACCCATATGAGGGTTCCGGCATAGACTTCCGAGTGATACAGTTTCAAATGGAGACAGAAAAAGAAAAGGCTATCCATCCAGTCGTAAATAAATTGAGACAGGCAAGGTCGTTATTGTTGGGGGAGGGGGGGCGCCGAGTGATTACTGAAGAGAAACTGGATGAAACTGATACTGGGCCTAATCACTGCCCTCGAAAGTCTCTCAGACGCCTTCCACAAGTTTAAAGTTTCACACTTCAGTTTCGAGTTTGCTGTATTTCCGTAAAGGGCCTTCAGCGAGTGAATGTGAATATCTTTTGGAGGCACAAGTAAAGTGCATACCAGCAAGGGCCATTCCCGGCATCTGCTGCTAGTTTGGTGGGGTTTGTTTTTGATTTGTTGTCGATGCTTAGCGGGTCCGAGCACAGACGAAATTCTGGACGGAGGGTGCTTGTCTCTCTTCCGCTGGATTGGCCGAACCATTTGCGGCAAACTCTCAGATGATCTGTAGGATGTTTCAGTTCTCGTTCCTTTGTTATAAGAATCCACCAAATTTCGGTACAGATTTGCTGTCCCGATTGTTTATATTACCGATTGCAACGTAACATATTAAAATTAATAAAAGGCAAAGTTGTCCTCGTTCTTAACTAATTAAGCACTACGCCATGAAGGCGTATGGGCGAATGGATGTATAAATCCACATTTCATGACCTCGGCACTAGTTGGAGGTGAGTGATCAGCTTCACTCCCTGGTCGTTTTACCCCCGGTAACCATTGGATAGGAGGTTGGGTGGACCCCAGAGCAGATCTGGACGACGTGGACAAGAGAAAATTTTTGAACCTACTGGGATTCGAACTCCGACCCCTCTGCCGTCCAGCCCGTACCCAGTCGCTATACCGACTACGCTATCCCGGCTCCCAAATAAAATTAACAATGAATATAAAATGAGCCTTAGAAATTTAGTTTATTTGTTACGTACACGAAATACGAAAACGGAAGGCTAATTGGATTGGTCATATCTTACGCGGTAACTGCCTTCTAAAAGAAGTTATTGAAGGAAAGATAGAGGGGCGGATAGAAGTGACCAGAAGACGAGGAAGAAGACGTAAGAAGATGCTGGATGACCTTAGGGACAGAAGAGGATATTCTCATTTGAAGGAGAAACCTCTAGATCGCATCAAGTGGAGGAACTGTTTTGGAAGAGACAGATTACTGATGATGATGATGTTACGTACTCTTATTCTNGAGACTGTGGACCTGTCGTCTTGACAGATTACTGATGATGATGTTACGTACTCTTATTCGACTTAAAATTGGCATTGATATCCTGCAGAAAAGAAGATCCACGGTTTATTTGATTATGTCTTAAAAAGTTTCCTTTTGTGATAGCCTGCTTGTTACTCTTTGCTTCAAAACACAAATCAGCAAATAGAGTACACACCATGTTTTACTTTCAGACGCTGTGAAGGACAATTAAGAAATATGGAAGTAGAAGAAATCGCGGCAGTTCTGTGGCGGATGAAATTCTAGAGTTGATTCGCAAAGAAAAATCTCAAAGGTATGTTAAACAGCGTTCCAGAATTCCTACAATCAACTGAGAAAAAAGAGTCCCCCTTTCCGAGCAGGAACACGAGTTATAGAATAAATGAAAAGATTTTCAGAAATCGTTTTTCCTTT